AAGCTTCACCGAATTTTAGGGGGCGAGTAGAAATGACACTTTAAAGTCCCGGAAGGACCTATGGAACGCATAATCATTATCAGACGAATATGAGAAAAAAATTATAACAACCTCAAATCAATATTGAAATATTTGTGACGAGTGAAAATTGTATGATATGAAATGATTGGATTTTTTTTTTTTTATAGATTTTAAAACTAATTTAATTAAAAATTTCGTAAACATCCTTCTAATTAGAGGTCTAGTGGCAACACTGGCAACAGTGGCACGCGACCTTCACACTTAGGCAAGTTGCGAGTTTACTGGTGTTACTCAAAACTAGGGTAGCCAACAGCAGAATGTTTAACCTCGTACAAATGGAAAAAAATTTCATACGTTAGCATCTCCATATCTTCGGAATAGTGGCATAATTTTAAAAATCAACAATTCTTCATAATTATAAAACTATTTTTTGTCATAAAAAAACAAACAATTACAAAAAGGAATAATATAAAAAATAAATTTCATGTCATTGTCGGTTCGATGACAGAATCATGCTCTCGCTTTTACACTTGATTCATTCATTTACCAGTTGAATTCTTCCAACTCGAGTTGGCAGAATTCAACTCGAGTTAACTCGAGTTGACACATCTCTACGCATAATATATCAAACGTACAATTCTTTTTAAATGCAGGTAATAAATTAGACAAATGTATAAAGCTATATGAAGTGTGGAATGCGAGAAATAGCAATGGGATACATTCATATAAATAAAACTGGAGTGTCTGTTTGTAATAATCATTTTTATTTGTCTCATACAAAAACTAATACAATTGCTGCCCATACAATAATATAATTTAAAACTAATGAAGGAGTCTACCCTCTCTGCTATTCTGTTATTGAAATAACCGTTTTTTACTACATGCATATGAATATAAATACGGTACATACGCCAAAATAACATTTTTTATAATTTTTGTCTGTATGTCTGTTTGTTCTGGCTAATGTCTGAAATGGCTAGACAGATTTTGACGGGACTTTTTTTGGCAGGTTACCTTATGTAATAAGGAGTAACTTAGGCTATTTATTTTAGAAAAATAAAGTTAAATTCCATTCCACGCGGACGAAGTCGCGGGTGCAGCTTGTTATAATGTAAATATACATGTTGTATGTTTATTAGTACAAGTTTTGTTTAGATGTCACTGTGATATGACCAATATTCTGATTACAATTAATATTTGTATGGCACACCTGCCTCCCAAATTTCATCGAATTTGTCTCAGCACTTCGTGATCAGTTCCCTTCACAAATTGTTATTTGTGTTATTGTAATAGAATGTTAGTAGGTATATATATTATAATGAATGTATATTGTTGTTACTCTATGTTTTATATGTTGTAAAATAAATATTAATGTAGAAAATTGAGTTTTTATTTGATTTCTTATATTAATCAACCATGGTCATAAATTGAATCAAACAAAATGGGACATATGAAATAAGCTATAGCTCTACAGTTTATTATCATAGGATTTAGTTGATCTTGCCTTCACTATATATATGTATATATAACTCAAAGGTGACTGACGTAGTGATCTATCAACGCACAGCCCAAACCACTGGACGAATCGGCTGAAATTTGCCATGCAGGTAGATGTTATGACGTAGGCATCCGATAAGAATTTTGATTAATTCTACCCCCAAAGGGATAAAATATGGGATGAAAGTTTATATGAAACTGTCAATTTTAAACCGATCGAACTGAGACTTTCCATGCATAAAGCTACTATGACGTAGGCATCACCTAAGAAGGGAATTTGAGAAGTTCCACCGCTAAGGGGATAAATTAACGCGAGCGAAGCCGCGGGCAAAAGCTAGTTGAAGTATATACTGGTAGGGCACCACAGAAAAATGAAAAAAGAAATATGTAGGATGTGTATTAATTTTTTCTACTACTCTCATTCGGAACGCAGATTCAACAAGAAGATCGAACGAAACAAGAAACTTGCGTGTTACTCTTTTAAATATAGGCTTAGGAAAATACGCCTCAATCTTTCAGGCAGAGACTTACGCCTTAATTAGATGTCTGGAAGTAATCCTAAGCCTCAACTACATCAATCAGAACATATACATTTATTCGGACAGTCAAGCTGCTCTACTAGCACTTAACTCGTACGAAATCCGTTCTAAACTTATTAGAAACTGTATCCTGCTACTAAATGAAGTAGGAAGCAGAAATAATATTATACTGAGATGGGTCCCCGGGCATTCAAATATTGAAGGCAATGAGAATGCCGACCATCTGGCAAAGTTAGGGGCAAAAACCGTCCAAATGGGCCCCGAACCCTCTGTGGTGTGCCTCGTTGCCTAAAACTGGGACATCTCAAATTAATAACCAAACGAGAAGCACTGAATCACTGGCAAGAAATGCCAGGATTAACACATTCAAAAGACCTAATATCTGGCTTCTCGACCAAATACTCCAATAGACTACTGCTATTGAGTAAAAACAACATATGCATGATGACGGGCCCTCACAGGACACTGCAAATTAAACAAGCATATGGCTAAACTAGGCCTATGCACGACAAGTATCTGCAGATTCTGCCAAACTGAAGAGGAAACGCCGCTTCACATCCTATGTGGTTGTAGCCCACTCATGCATAAACGAAATATCTCCTTTGGAAAGTTTACACTCTTTCCCGAGGAGATAAAAACGATCGCTCCTAAGAATATCCTTCAATTCTTGTCTCTGACGGGTCTAGGTAGCGAACTCTGAAAAGGGCGAGCACAATAGATCTATGTAGGTCGCAGTGCTACAGGTGCTACACATCTGACAATAGCCCAAACAACCCAATAAAAAAAAAAAAACCTATATATGCATTAACAAGTATTAGGCATGCGACAATCAACATAGAAAACGCTACGCACTCAATCTTTGTTCAATCAGATAACATTGTCAGTGCTATGAATTTTAAGTTAGATTATTCTACAAAAGTAGTAGTAATATTAAATATACAATACAAAGTATCCAAGATGATCTAGTTAAATAACAAATCAATCTTTAAACCTATTTCTTGACAATTCTCCTGGGAGTTAGCTCATCTCGATTCAACGATGCAGACGTCGTCCAATTGACTGTTGAATAATTCACACGAAGCGCCGCTCCGGCTCTCCATATAAACACATTGAGATAGTGCTCCTGTTTGTATTGCAGCTAACGTTCAACTTTTACAATACAGTATGTAATTAAAGTGGGATTCATATTGTCTGATGTGTCGTGACGTGTCGTGTCGTGACGTAACATGTTTTATATGTTCTGTTCTGATGCCTTCAAACGATATTTTGAATGCCGTAATTGAAATACAGCCGTAGCTCTACACAAAGTGAAACTCCGATGCGTCACAACACAGTACTGGTGCATGTACATCTCGTCGAATAAATAGAAAAATGTAATTTTTCAAAATTGGAAGCTAGAATTGCCTCCTTTTATATAAGTCAATTAAATTAACCACGCCGTCTTAATTATTATCTAAATACTTTTAAAATCTAGACACGCGGTAGCGTGTCAAGCCGAGTTTCAAGTAAGACAACTGGCGAGCAGCACCGTGTGTATATTTACACGAACCATTTGGAGCCACTGTTGACCCCCTCATAACTCAAAAACTCTTTCACAAAACCTGTCAAATTTGGTTTATATATTGAGACTTGCGAGATAAATATGTATTCCAAATTTCATAAACATATCTCAAACGGTTATTTAGATATTAACGTCGAAATATCGTCATTTTTATCACTGATCAACTATAGATCAAAATTATAACCCAATTCCAGATGACCTAGTAAGTTCAAATTTGGCATGCAGATAGGTAATTAGGTGAATATAAAGGAAAAAATGAAACTATATAACTAGGCTACAGTATATTATCCTAAGTTATAAGAAGAAATGATATTTTATATTGTTATAAATACATTTCAGGACAGACCATTGAACTTGGCACCCATTTAGATCTCATCTCTTTTGTCGTAGAAGTCAACAATCAAGGCATATATCATAATATTAAACTCGGCTATCATTTCACATTTATGTTTTTGATGGGATTATATATAATACTTGTGTGTAAATTTAAAACTTTAAAAGGGAAAAATTATTTAAATATATTTAAAAACTTTAAACGTTTGTCTTGTAAAAAAAAGTACATTTTGTATATTGCCATTGTTCTATTTAATCGACGATGTGTCGCGACGTGTCCTGTCATGACATGCTGACTAGTTTTTACATTTATATGTCGTGTTCTGATGCCTTCTGACGATATATTGAATCAATACAGACGTAGCTCTAGGAAAGGTGAATTCCAACACGTCGCAACACAACTCTGGCGCTTGTACTTGACGTGTCATGACGGTCATGACCACATTTCTACGCTTTTTTTTTTAAGGTGTGGAAAATCTTCAAAAGACTCACCCCGCCGGAGGGAGGGCGGGGCGGTGTGTGAGACTTGTACTCACCAAAAACTACACGGTGTACCTACGAGCGCCTATGTCGGAGCCAGAGGATTCGCAAGTGCATTTCCACCCCAGCTCCGACGGCGACGGCCCGCCCTGTAGATGTTGTAGGGCAGGCCCCATCTCGTTACAGTTAGGGCGACCTATTTCGCCCTACTCCATTGTGGAGGCGTGTGCGTACACTCGCACACCTCCGGGGCCTTTGGATTGGGGTACTGCCTCCCTCAAGGCAGTCACCCCGGCCCTAGTGGGGGATAGAGGGAGCGGAGTTGAGTACGCCCTCATTTCTAGGCCTGGCTCTTCTGCGACGGAGGGAAGCGGGACGAGTCCGCTCCCTTTCCGCGGCCTCCTTCCGCGAGATAACAAGAAGTGCACCCCGCCCAGAAGCAAAGGAGGGAAACGGCCCGCCTCACAGGTCCCAGGCGTAGGAGTGGGAGGCAGATGCCATCACAAAACATTACGCATTACTAGTATGAACCAATGGCGTAGCTACCTAGGGGCTAGGCGGGGCACAAGATGCGCACTCTGCACGTCGACGGGCCGTCCGGCGGACCACTGGGTGGGGAGCAAGAAGTGCACCCCGCCCAGAAGCAAAGGAGGGAAACGGCCCGCCTCACAGGTCCCAGGCCGTAGGAGTGGTGCAGAGGAGGGGATGGACATCAACTCCCCTCCTAACGATCGAGGAGGCAGGGGCGGCGCAAGTCCTCTCTTCCGCTTGCTGTGCCCAACAGGGTCCATAATTAACCTACTTTGAAATGTACCTGTCTATCTATTTGCTGTAAAATTATGGAAGGAGCTCACCGCCAGACACTTCTACGCTCTGACTCAACCGGGATCATTTCTGATGAGATACAACAGATGCCATCACAAAACATTACACATTACTAGTACGAACCAATGGCGTAGCTACCTAGGGGCTAGGCGGGGCAGCGCCCCGGGCCCCTCAATCTCAGAGGGCCCTCGAACCCTTACCAGAAAATCTCGAACAAACTGAACTTTTCAAAATTTCTCTCACTTTCAAAATAACACAGTTTGCAACCAGACTTTAATCATGACAACTTAATTGAGAGAAATTCGAAAGTTCTTTCCTTCCGAATTCCCTTAAAATCAACCCACAGAGGTTGGCAGTGTTGTTAATTTGATAGGTCAATCGTCAAATCCAACTCGGATGGGCAGCGTTCGGGAAGCTCCGATATATCTTTTCGTCCAAATTTCCGCAGTGTCTCAAGAAAGGTTTGACCAATGTGTGTTGCCAGTGTGTGTTAAACAGAGACAGTAATTAAGTCAACACTATACATATACCCGAAGAATTGCGACTTTGAAGTGGCTTCTTGCAAGTTGATAATAATTGTACCGACGATCTGGTCATAGTGATGCGAGCAGCGCAGGACCGATCGTCGTGATCTTTGTTGACGTCTTCCGGGCTGCGATGATGATGATGATGATGTGCAATGTGTGTGTTGGAAACCAGTAATTAAATCAACACTATACATATACCTGAACTTCTTGCAAGTGATAATAATTGTAACCTCATAGTGTATGTCTTGTTGATCGCTCAAATTTTATATATAAAATTCTCGTGTCACAGTTTTCGTTCCCATACTCCTCCGAAACGGCTTGACCGATTCTCATGAAATTTTGTGAGCGTATTGAGTAGGTCTGAGAATCTGCCAACATCTATTTTTCATCCCCCTAAATGTTAGGGGTAAAACAACGTTTGCCGGGACAGCTAGTAAATAAATAAATAAATAAAATGCTGGCTGTATGGTAACGTACTGTACATCGTCCTAATAACAAGATGAGGCATGTCACACACCACCTACAAGCTGGGCGCTGGCAGAGTCGCGGTATAATGCTAACTCTCCGGCACTAATACTCGTAAGTACATCTTATGGTTTTAAGATGGGAAATAATCTCATACACTCTTGTCACTCCTGTCGCAGGAGGACGGTTTTTTTGAGATAAAGAAGGTGGTAGTTGTATGTGGCGACGATTGTGACTTAACATTTAGTAGAGTGTAAACATATAATATAATTGTTAAGTATAAATACATACATTTAGCATTTTTATATTAGTAGTAATTGGCAACTAAAATTGTTGTCTATGATTGGTTCTATATTGTTAACTCTCTGGTTTATAAAGTGTGAAACAGTAATGACATGTTCGAAAAGAAACAATTAAGTCGAAGTCGCGGGAACAGCTAGTATAAACATACAAACCGTAGCGTAATTGTGGTTGTATGGGGTTGTAATGATAAAATTATAGATCACAGATGGGAGGGATACAAAGGTCCAACACTGAAACAATACGCCCAGTGTATTAAGAGTGCCGCACCGTATCTGCCACGAAAGATTGTGCCTAATTTATGGGCAGCCGTGATCTCTGAGGATGTCAACCCTCCTCAACAGTCAGCAACAAAGTGTAGTGTTGATAACATCTATTGTACAGTGGCTGCATGGTTATTAAATGAGATCAGGCTAGCCTTTACTATATTCAAATTAGGGAGGCACTTCCATAGATTATTATGTTTACATACTAGCTGTACTCGCAGCTTCGTCCACGTGGATTTTAACTTTATTTTTCTAAAATGAGAGTAGCCTAACTTACTCCTTATATCAGCTACCTGCCAATAAAAGTCCCGTCAATATCGGTCCAGCCATTTCAGAGATTAGCCGGAACAAACAGACGCACAAAAATTGTAAAAAATGTTATTTTGGTGTATGTATCGTATTTATTCATATGCATGTAGTAAAACACGGTTTTTTAATATTACAAACTCAAATTCAAATTCAAAAATCATTTATTCATGTTCAGGACATTTTAGCCGCTTATGAACGTCAAGTTTTTACATTATAATTTTTTTCCCTACCGTCCAGTTCGGTATATAGATCCAATTGAGAAGAACTGGCAAGAAACTCAATTGAATTACTTTTTTTTTTAAAATCCAGTTTATTTACAATGTATTTATATAGGTGTCTATGTCTAACATTAAATGAAAATCCCGAACATGGAAACTATTGCCATGCACGCTCGTCATTCAAGTAATCGTTTAGTGAGTAATAGACCTTGCTCAGTAAATATGATTTAACAGATGTTTTGAATTTATTTAAGGGTAATTCCCAATATATCCTTTGGTATCTTATTGTAAATTTTTATACCTATTCCCATAAAAGACCTATTGACTTTTTCTAAACGATACTTGGGGACAGCAAGTTTGTCTTTAAATCTAGTATTAATATTACAAACAGAGACTCTAATTTTGTAACACAAATGAAAACCCTGGCCTGTCGCATTTTTGTGGTGTAAATGGTCTTGGAATCGGTGATTTTCCAAAAATTAATAGTTTTTTTTTTAAAACGGTCACTGAGGTCTGGCGCTGAGGTTGTTAAGCATCATTGAAAAAACACGGTATGTGCTACATGTTTGTTCATTGATTACCTACCATGTTTTTTATATGTTGCTTAAAAATACTTTAAAAATTAAAAAAAAACACATTAATGTATGTATAATGTTTTTTTTTTAATTTTAAAGTATTTTTAAGCATCACTGAAAAATAAATATTAGATTCAGCGCTTCCTCTGTACATAAATATTAACTTTACCAATTTTCATACTTCGTGCATTCCTATACATGTTTATTTCCTAAAAAGAGGTATAAAGTTTTGTGCTGTTTGTGTAATAATAACATCGTTTCTCTCTCGGTAAGAATACGCCGTATTCAAATTGTAATGTTACTTGGCCATACTTCTCAGATAAATTTGCATTATAAACATAGCGATGGATTGAAATAGAAATGAAATAATGTTTATTCAAATAAACTTAATATAAGCAATTTTGAATAGTCAAGTTGTTTTCTACCACTCATTCGGAACACAGACTCATCACAAGTAGGATGAGCGAGAAACTTGTGTGTTGCTCTTTTTAATATGTTGTTATAAGTGAGTTTACTATAATAAGGATTAGGCATGCGACAATCAACGTACGCACTCAATCTTTGTTCCATCAGATAGTGTTGTCAGCGCTATAATTTTTCTACAAAAACTTTATCTATACAGATAAATAAAATTGTAGTGTTTGTTTGTAGTATTGAAATAACCGTGTTTTACTACATGCATATGAATATAAATACGGTATATATACCAAATTATCATTTTTTTACAATATCTCTTTGTCTGTCTTTTTGTTCCGGCTAATCACACATTCAAATATCTAGGCAGTTAAATCACCAGCGACTCCAGATGTACCACAGATATTATAACAAGAATAGCCATGGCAAAAAAAGCATTTAACAACAAAAAATACCTTTTACGCGCTAAAATATCAAAGACCTAACGGAAACGATTTATTAAAACCTATAGCCTTGTATGCGTATGAGACGTGGACATTAAATCAAAAGGAAAGAGACAAACTGGAGGCTTTTGAAATGTAGTGTTGGAGGAGGATGGAAAGAATTAGCTGGAAGGATAAAGTAAGAAACGAAGAAGTACTACACAGGGTAAAAGAAAAAAGACAAATATTGAACACCATAGAAAATAGACGAGGAAAAATGTTAGGGCACTTGATACGGCACGATGATTTCATGAAAATTATTATTGAGGGGAAAATAGAAGGAAAGAGGGGGAGGGGAAGACCAAGGAATAGCTACATCAAACAAACTGAGGACAAAATAGGAGTCGTGTCGTATCAAGAATTAAAGAGCATGATGGAAGATCGCGGAAAGTGGCAAGAGCTCCACCGACAAGAGCGTAGCTCTTAAATTATGAATGAATGAAATGAATCTCTGTTATGACTGGACCGATTTTGACGAGACTTCTATTGGCAGGTAGCTGATGTAATAAGGAGTAACTTGGGCTACTTTTGTTTTAGAAAATAAAGTTAAATTCCACCCGAACGAAGTCGCGGGTACAGCTAGTTATATATATAAATAAAGACTGCGTCAAATTTAAGACAATGCACGAAACGAAATTTACAGTGTGGACTCCTTAATGCTAATCACGCTGCCTATTTCTCTCGAAAGCAAGGTCGGGCTTCGAGGTTGGTCATTGTTCCAACTGGACATCAATGCACGGATAATCCGACCTCTCCATACAGGTTAAGCTTCCATTAATATTAGCACCGTAATTGGAAAACGAACTTCATTTGTAAAGTACAAAAACGATACGTTTGTTCTTAAACAAACAGTGTGACACTTTGAGATTGGAGAAATAGTTGTATCTAAAACTATAATGTGGTGAACCGAGTTTGGAAATGCATGGGATGAATCTAGATTGGTGAGTACTTGAGAATTATTTACCTAATCTTTCCGCTGAAAATCAGCGCTTTAGTTTCGCTTGCAACGATATTTTGAGCGGAGTGTTTATTAAGCAGATATTTTATAGTAGCATATTGGTTTCTAATTGTTTTATTATGTTGGTGTGACTGTGTGTATGTATGTATATATATAATTCAGCACATTATTTTATTTATACTTTATATATTTTGATAAAGAGCTCGAAGTTTAACATTTATGTCATTTTCTTAGTAATAACACAGATAACATAATATGGTAATAAGTATAGTATAAGTATGTAATATTATGTTATAAGTAAGGAGCCAACAGAATATCAGCGCTGCAGAGTTA